CTGTTTCTTCCTTGGTCAGTCTTGGAAGCTTGTATTTTTCTAGGAAGTTCTCCATTTCTTCTAGGTTTTTCAGCTTGTTAACATATAGATTCTCATAATATTCTCTAATAATTCTTTGTCCATCATGATTTTTCCCTTCTCATTTCTGATTCTGTTTATGTGTGTAGATTCTCTTTTTCTCATAATAAGTCTGGCTAGGGGTTTTTCTATTTTTTAATTTTCTCAAAGAACCAGTTCTTGGTTTCATTGTTTTTTTCTATTTTTTTATTCTTATCAGTTTTATTTATTTCTTTGCTGATCTTTATTATCTCCCTCCTTCTGCTGACTTAGGGCCTCATTTGTTCATCTTTTTCCAATTTCAATAATTGTAAATTTAGTCTATTCACTTGGGATTGTTCTTCCTTCTTAATATATGCCTGGATTGCAATATAGTTTCCTATTAGAACTGCCTTCTCTGCGTCCCACAGAAGTTGAGGCTTTGTGCTGTTGTTGTCATTTTTATCCATATATGTTGGGAGTGAGCCTATGAAGTTTTAAGCAATACTAGTTATGTAAGTCTTAGACAACAGCAATCATTTCTGCAGTAAGGCAAAGTTGCTCTCCTAGCCAAATCAATATAGATCTTTCAGTCAGATTGCTAAGCAATGTTTCCTCCTCTGTTCTTTCCACTGGCCTTCTAACCCTGCCAACATCCTTCTTCTCAAGAACACCCGCTGCCCCAGGGGAAAGCCCCACCCTTAAACCTCCCTCCCAAGGGCCCCCACCCACAAGATGGCGAACTTCCTGCTTCTCTTCCAGGTCCTCGGTTCCCGCCGGCGCCACCTGAAGCCCAATCACCTCTCTACACGTTCCCGCCGGCGCCAACTGAAGACCAATAACCTCTTTACATATATTTTCATCACAACCTATATAAATTGAGCCTGAGAAAAATAAAATTGGTCAGTTTGATCAGACATCCTGTCTTGCTGTCCATTCTTTCTGTCTCTTGCCCCTTCATTCTCTCCTCCAGGTCGTCGACCCCCATTGATAGTCCTGCAGGTCGGGACACATATATTGCTTGATCTCTGTTTTAATTTGGTCATTGAGCCATTGATTATGTAGGAGCATGTTGTTAAGCCTCCATGTGTTTGTGAGCCATTTGGTTTTCTTTGTACAATTTATTTCTAGTTTTATACATTTGTGGTCTGAGAAGTTGGTTGGTAGAATTTCAATCTTTTTGAATTTACTGAGGCTCTTTTTGTGGCTTAATATGTCATCTATTTTGGAAAACATTGCATTTCCACTTAAGAAGAATGTGTATCCTGCTGCTTTTTGGTGTAGAGTTCTTTAGATGTCTGTTAGGCCCATCTGTTCTAGTGTGTTGTTCAGTGCCTCTGAATTGTTATGTGTTTTCTGTCTGGTTGATATGTCCTTTGGAATGAGTGGTATGTTGAAGTCTCCTAAAATGAATGCATTCCATTCTATTTCTTCTTTTAATTCTGTTAGTATTTATTTCACATATGTTGGTGCTCCTGTGTTGGGTGCATATATATTTATGATGGTTATATCCTCTTGTTGGACTGCCCCCTTTATCATTATGTAATGACCTTCTTTATCTCTTGTTAGTTTCTTTGTTTTGAAGTCTATTCTGTCTGATACAACTACTGCAACACCTGCTTTTTTCTCCCTATTGTTTGCATGAAATATCTTTTTCCATCCCTTTTAGGCTGTGTATATATTTGATTTTGAGATGAGTCTCTTGTAAGCAGCGTATAGATGGGTCTTGCTTTTTTACCCATTCTATTACTCTGTGTATTTTGATTGGTGCATTCAGTCCATTTACATTTAGGGTGATTATTGAAAGATATGTACTTATTGCCATTGCAGGCTTTGGATTCGTGGTTACCAAATGCTCAAGGGTAGCTTCTTTACTATCTAACCATCTAACTTAACTCTCTTATTAAGCTATTATAAACACAGTCTGATGATTCTTTATTTCTCTCCCTTCTTATTCTTCCTCCTCCATTCTTATATATTAGGTGTTTTATTCTGCACTCTTTTGTGTTTCCTTCCACTGTTTTTGTGGATAGTTGATTTAATTTTTTTCCTTTAGTTAGTATTTGGTTCATCTGCTTTCTTTGCTGTGATTTTATTTTCTCTGGTGACATCTGTTTAGCCTTAGGAGTGCTCCCATCTAGAGCAATCCCTTTAAATACCCTGTGGAGGTGGTTTGTGGGTGACATATTCCCTCAAATTTTGCTTGTCTGGAAATTGTTTAATCCTTCCTTCAAATTTAAATGATAATCGTGCTGGATATAGTATCCTTGGTTCAAGGCCCTTCTGTTTCATTGCATTGAATATATCATGCCATTCTCTTCTGGCCTGTAGGGTTTCTGTTGAGAAGTCTGATGATAGCCTGATGGGTTTTCCTTTGTACGTAATCTTTTTTCTCTTTCTGGCTGCCTTTAATTCTCTGTCCTTGTCTTTGATCTTTGCCATTTTAATTATTATGTGTCCTGGTGTTGTCGTCCTTGGGTCCCTTGTGTTGGGAGATCTGTGGACTTCCATGGTCTGAGAGACCATTTCCTTCCCCAGCTTTGGGAAGTTTTCAGTAATTATTTCCTCAAAGACACTTTCTATCCCTTTTTCTCTCTCTTCCTCTTCTGGTATTCTTATAACGCAAATATTGATCCATTTGGATTGGTCACACAGTTCTCTTAATATTCTTTCATTCCTAAAGATACTTTTATATCTCTCTGCCTCAGCTTTTCTGCATTCCTGTTCTCTGATTTCTATTCCATTAACAGTCTCTTGCACCTCTTCCAGTCTGCTCTTAAGCCCTTCTATTGATTGTTTCGTTTCTGTTATCTCCCTCTGGACTTCATCCCTTAGCTTTTGCATATTTCTCTTAAGGTCCCATCAGCTTGGTTATGGCTTTTATTTTGAATTATTTTTCAGGAAGATTGGTTATATCAATCTCACCAGGTCCTCTCTAGTAGGCAACGAGTCAGACACATTTCACATATTCCAAAGGGCTTAGAGGGTTAACTGATTATTTTTCTCAACAGGATTTAAACATACACTAAGTTATATAAATATACCAATCCAAGAAGAACATAGCTGTGGTAAGTATGTCCAGATCAGTGTGGGCGTGAGTGCAGGGGGAAGACCAACACTGCAAACAATGCTATAAAGTAACTGGATTAAGACAAGCAAGTCTTGAAAAATACAGCACTTTCCCAATAGTTTCTTGGGTCTCTTATGAGTGAACAACTTGAACACTGACTTCATTAAAAAATAATAATAATTTTTTCCTTTTTGAAATTGCCAATTTAAATTTTGACCTTGATTATTCATTATGATATTTCAGTATGCAAAGTAGTCACCCAAGTTGAAAACATTTTCTCTTATAATTTTGGGATATTGCAATACAATTTGAAGAAATTTAAAAAATCTCTTGAAAGCAATTTCTCATAAACATTCTCTCTCAAAAGAATTGAAGTATTCCCATATTTATTCATCTTCCAATTTTTCTTCATTTATTTTGAATGCATGTAAAGATCTTGCTTGCTAAGATCCCTATGTGCGTTCTGTCATTTAACCTTTATACCTGTGCTTCTCTAAGGTGGGTGCTGTGGTCTTAGTTACAAAGGAGGTAACTGACCTTAGAGCTTAAGCAACTTCCTTTCAGAGGTCTTCCCTCTACGGCTCTAAATTTACAAGTAGGTTGAAAGGAAAGGGAATTTTTGTCCTCCCTTCCCCTGTTCCATCCTCTCCTTCCCTTCCTCGGTACTCCTGCGGGATGGCTCTGGCTAAGGCAGGCGGGGAGGGTCACAATGTTACCATCGTCCTTTTAACAACTTCCTCCTGACTTTGGTTTAGTCTCTGTCATCGGTCCCCTGACGCCTCTGCGCCAGGCCCAGACGGCAGCCCTGGGCCCAGAGCCCCTGCACATGACCTCCTCCTGGCTGCTGGGCCCCTGCTCACTGTATGTACCCACCCAGAGCTCACACTCTCCCTTCTCTGAGCATCCTTGGGCCCTGGTACCTGGCCCTCTTTCTCTTCCTGTGACCAAGATCAATGGGCTCCAGCTTCTAGAAGTGGGACCTCGCCTATTTTCCGGGAACAGTCCTCCTCCCAGATGCCCCACCTGCACCAGAGGCCGGGCTCCACCCCAGGCCTTCCTCCAGGCCCTACCTGGGACCTGCCTTGGGACTGGGCTCTGCACCATCACATGGGCTCCGTCTCCTCACTGCCTGGCTGTTGGCTCCGATCTCTCCATCCCTTGAGTCAGGACACTTATTTGTTCGGATGATTATACAATTTTCCTTCTAAACTGGGACACTTGTCCAGGGAAGGAGGTGTTGTGACAGTTGCAGGGGTAACAGACATGCCACTGACTCCCCCTCCTGGATCCTGAGTTGCACACTAATGGGCTGGTTCCCATGTGACGCTGGGAAAGCTGGCTCCCACCTCTATGCCGCAGGTCTGTCCTCTGTGAAACTGGGTGAGTAGGTGTGCCTAGGCCCTGGGTCTGGTGGGGACAGTAAGTGAATGTGAGCAAAGCATTTAGAACAGTGACCAGCACACAGTCATCACTCAGTGCACATCAACTCTGTCTGTGATGTTGGTAAACTATTCACCTGGCTGAGCCTGTGAGACCGAGTGGACACTACATGTGGCCACCTTCCTCCTCCAGACGTGGCTCTCACTGTCAGACTGTCTCTTTCTATGGTGCAAATACTATCCACCTCAATCCCACAACCCTTTCCACCCCTCTGCCCATATTTTCTGCCTGTATGTCTTGCTCCACCAATGTGTTCAGCAATATCTCAGAGGCAGGCCCTCTCCCTCCTAATGCCAGCTTCTTAATCAGCGCTCAGCCTTCAGGAAGCCCAGGGAGATCTGAGGCCTCAGAGGCACATGTAACTATCTCACTCTCCAGCCTCCAGGAAAGCATTTTTGCTCACTCATCCAAACTGTTGTATTGGGAAATGATACTGCAGACCTCAGTGAGAAGAGGCTGCTGTTTCCTGAAGACACTCATGGTCATTACTGGTGTCTCTTACTCAAAACAAGTGGGGCTTGAGAGGAAAGAAGACTGTAAGGCCTGAAGCCTGCAAGGTAAACAGGGTAAATTCCCTTTGCACAGAAAGCCCCCTTTATTGTCTGTTAGAGGTGCCTCCCCGTGGGTCACTGAGGCCATTTGCAAACTGTTCCTCTTGGTTGCTATGTAGGGATATGAGGCATTAGCTATGAGCATTGTTTCCCCTTTGAATCTGATTGTGACTCTGGTGCCATGGTAATTGCTAGACATAATTAGATAGTTATTTCTTTGGATAGCATGCACATGGACACACACACCTTACACTTATTAAATCTAAGCTGCTGTCTCCATTTGGCTGCCAGGTCTGGTAATGAGGAATGGTGTGGACATCCCTAGGACATGGGGTGGGTAAGTGAGTTCTTCATGGGCTCAGAGGGACAGTAAGGACATCCTGGAACCAGATTACCAGGTTCTGATCCCTAATCCTCAAATTGCTGCCTGTGTGGCCCCGGAAAAGTTACTTCACTCCTCTGATGTTCTGCTTCATCATCTGTAAAATGGAAAGGATCTTAACAGTAGAACCCATTCATATAGATGTTGTGGGAGCTAAAGTGGGTTAATCTGATTGAAACACTAGAACAATGCCTGACACACACTAAAAGCTGGATAGATTAACTCAGTAGTGCCTTCTTAGGAAATCTGCATTCCTCCCTTTAAAAAAAAAGCAAAATTGACCAATATAGGACATAGTTTATTTTACCTGAAGGCTAAAAATTCACCCTGATATTTATGATAATTTGAAAAAGTGAAATGAAATAATGCTCTTACAATAGATTTTGTACCTCCTAACTGCCATGGGGTTTCTCTGTATGAGAAGCTGCAACACTTGCAAAGGTATTTTCTGTTTTCATCCATGAGGCTGGGCTATGTCAGGCTCCACCAAAAGATCGTTCATTTATTAAGCCTACATTCACTGAGTGCTGGCACATGAGAGACCCTGAGCCAGGCCCCGGTGTTACAGGGATGAGAGACAGCGAGGTGCAGATGGGCATCCAGTCAGTGAGGCTCAGAGTGGTAAGTGGCAGGAAAAGGGAAGTGGAGGGCAACCTGAGAGCCACTAAGGGGGCCTCATCCAGCCTGGTGGGGACTGAGCAAAGGTCTTTCATGGAAGTGGGACCTGTGGGCTGAGATCAAGTCTGGGATAAAAGCACAAGTTATCTCAGTGGAGCTTGAGGGGAAAGGGGCTTCAGGAGAGAATAGTGCTGGGAAGGGCTCAAGACTTTTGGGAACTTGACCCTTGGGAGGATTCAGAGAAATGAAACAAGGCTGGATGAGCTCTGAGACAGGGAGGGGTGAGGAAGGAAGCTGGGGAGGCAGGCGAGTAATTACTGATCTTGAAGGAGCAATGTTCCCACATTTCGTGCGTCCCAGCATATTAGATGTTTTATCTAAAATATGGACATAGTTTCCAAAGAATGGATTTTAAGCCTGGGCTTTGCACGGTGATGCTCAATATGGAAAATGGGATTTAAAGGAGATTATTCTACTTTCGACCATCTTGTAATTGTGCGTGTTGATCAGAATTCCATTAGGCCTTCACGAAAATAGAATTTGTTCTAAATGTTTTGATATTTCCTCATTTTTAGTATTGAGAATGGAATGTAAGGGATCCTATTCATTTCCCATTTCTCACTGTTTAAATGGAACATATACCTAAATGTTAGCATAAAAATCCATATTGACAGAGTGAAAATGAATTGTAAATCGTCACTGAAATGGCTTCAGGAGGCCAGCAGGGGGAGCTCTCAGGCCCTTCTGGTCTGTCAGTTGCGCCCCAGAGGGAAGGGCTGGACCTTGCAGGACACTAACTGCTTCTCACACCGCTTTCCCACCAGCAGGAGGAGGGGCTGTCTCCTCCTCCCGGGCACCGGCCCAGCCACTGAGAGACTCTCTCAGCTCAGGCAGTGAGCATCCACGGTACTTGAAACTCCGGTTTCCTTCAGGACTGTGTATTTATAAAGAACCCTCTGCAGCTCTGCCCTTTCTCCTGTAAAAAAGTGTTTCTCTGCTTTGTTTCCTGGACATGCCTGTTGTTTCCCAAAGGCTGCTTGTCCCAAACTGCAATTTTCTACTATTATGAATAAACCCATTTTTACTGACAAATTAACTGACAGTTTTATTTTAAAGATCAACAGTAGGGAACATTTATTAGGAATGAAATAGCAGTTGTCAATGAGATAAAGTTAGAATGTGTTCTGACCTTCACCTTCTTAGTGTTTTACTGATTAAATATGTGTCATATATACCCCCTGGCAATATAGAACTGGGAATGCAAACGTTATCTTCAAAGTAAGTGGCATGGATTTCTTGTGCCAAAGTGAGTAAAGTGATTTAAAAAATGGATCTGCCTTGTAATTTCCAAGAGAATGTAAGAATTAAGATTGTATTCTAAACTCAAAGTTAATAGTCTTGGGAGAATTCAGCAGTATTTAATGGGCTTCTGGTTAATCTCATACCATCCACCTCAATATTTGAAAAAGCATGTAACACATTTCATAATCATCTTCTCTTGGAGGACTCTGCACACGAGGGAGCTATAGTGTTCAAGAGTAAACATACTGTGTATATTTTAATGATACATATTGTTTAGCTGTAATGATTGAGGTGGTTGTTTGGTGACACTTACATACAATACTCCAATTCCTCTTTGACACAAGGCAGAGTAAACTTAAAAGTGAACATTTACTAACTTTATCAGGTTAGGGACTTCATACATTATCAAAGTTGCCCTTTGCAATGTTCATATGAAATTAAAATGATTTTGAAGAAGCGAAAACTAGGTTCTCATTATTACATCATTAATCAGTAAGTGACCTAATTTGAATTTGAACTTGGCTCTTCCTTAGTGCCTAAGCTCTTCGCACTGTGCTATCTTGTTACCCAGAAAGACATCTTCCTTACAACACTGTGTAGTATAATGGTTACAAAATGCTGGACCTTAAAGTAGAATGTCTCTAATAGAATTTGAACTCTCTCATCAGCTATACAAGTTTGGGTAAATTGCTGAAACTCTATATGTCTCAATTTCCTTATTTTTAAAACGAGAATGATAATACTGCAATACACATTAGTTGAGAGGATCAATATGTTTACTGTTTGAATAGATTTAGTCTTTACTGTTCCAAAGTGAAGTGAAGCACCCAGGCCTACTACAGTGATCTGACGATGTCTGCTACTCAAGACAGAATGGAATTAAACAGTGTTAAAATCTCATTATTCTGCCCCTGCCCCTTGTGGGGAGTAATTTTGACGTATGGCCAGAATTGAACCCTTCCGTTGCACCGAAGAAATTTTATTAGCTGGTGATAAAAGGGAAAATATCAAAGCCTTTATTTCTTTTCTATGAAAGTCATCAACAACCCCAAATGGACATTGAAGATACTGAACTACAGATGAAACTACTGGCCTTTGGGGTAAGTCAGCTCCTGGTTAAATATTCAGTTCAAGATGGGAGAAAATGTCGTGTAGAAACCTTGTTTATGACCATAAGGAGGAATTTCTGAGCCACTCATCACTGAGTCTGTAACATAGCTCTCTTAAAAAAAGACTGGGGCATCTTTTAGACCCATGGGTAGAAATGCAGAGGCATAATCTCATGGTAGAAAACACCCTATCATGTAGCACTGGAGAATGGACTCCAATCTGACCATGCACCTCAGGAGGCTGAGCTCTAGGAACTCACATTCCACATTTTAATTAAGAAATTGGGTCAAGGGAAGGCTGAGTGGAATGCTGGTCACTGCCAGCCTGCCTCCATCACACTATGGCTCCAGAGCATGTGGAAGATGGTTTGACTCTATCTTTGTTATCAGCCAGATCTCCCTTCCTCTTCTGCCACTTCTGAAGGGAGCTGGTGAGAATGGACAAAGTCAGGGGAGGTGAAATGAGGAGTGGCCTCTGGAATTGGTGGGAGCAGCCTGAAATAAAACCTCTCGGGTAAGCTCTTGCCCCATTAATTTAGGCTTGAATATTCCACCATTTCAAGCACTGAGAGCTCCTTTCTGAGAAAAATTAAAATGGTCTCTTCTTCAATGTCCACTAGTTTGTGACCATTGTGCTTTTTATTTCCCCTTCTCACAGGCCATCGAGATCCTGAGTGGAGCAATAATTCTGGTTCTTGGTGTTTTTCTGGGTTCCATACAGGGCATATTTAATTTTTTCGGGTACTTCTCTTTCTTTACCTTCTACTCAGGCTACCCGATATGGGGCCCTGTGTCTGTGAGTATTCCAGTTCCCCTGAGCATAGAGCATTTCTTAGTTACCACTGCTGGGAAAGTGCCTGACCATTACCGTGTTGGTCTTAGGATATTTCAAGGTTGCACACTGCATGTTTGGGTTATAAATGTTGACACAAACAGGTTTTAAGAACAAAGTGCCATTCTTTCTGATTAAAATAAATCAAATTTGCTGAGTACAAACTAATTCCCAAACATTTCTTAATAATTATATACTAAATTTATTCATAAAAAGAAGACTGAATAAAGAATGAGTATTGGTGAATTGTCTTGTGGTGCAACCAAGAGAGACGTGGTCTGGGAGATAAGAGAGTCTCCTGTTCATTACTGTCTGATAATCAGAGGAGTAGTTTCCCCTATTTGGGGTGAGATGTAATCTGTAAAAGTGGGAATTGGGTCTAGGTGTTTCTTAAAATTTATTTATTCTGTTTTGTCATTTGATTATCACTTACTAAATAGTTAATCTTTTAAAAACTGATTAATAGGAACTATTTGTTAATCAGCCACTTTTTTTCTTTTTGCTTGTCTAGTCTGTTATTAGATAGAACTTTGAGAATTTATACATGTTGCGTCTTGGACCAAACATGAAAACAAAATTGCTACCATGAAAACTAAGATGGGAATGTTTTGATATAAATGGGGAATAGAACATGCGATTGGCAAATGAAGAGGAAAGAAATCCATAATAAGTTTTGGCCTCTAACGTAATCATGCTTTTGTTTCTCCAAAATCACTGGCCTTCTGATCTCCTTTAAAAGGAAATTGTTCTTAATTTGGCCAAAACCTTGGCTCAAATCAGATTTCATATTCTGACAAAGATTATATTCTGTTTCTGCATACAACCCAAAACATGTTATTTGGATTTAACATTTCTGAAATCTTAAGGGACTTAATATCATTTTGAGAGAATAATTGGATTCTGATTTTTTCTAGAAAATTGGGGTATACATTTACTCTGCATGATGAATCCTGACTACCTGAATGGAAAATTTCCATATTGTATTAAAGGGAATAATGAATTGTTTCAATTATTCAATTAATAAATTCTTCTCAGGAAGTAAGGTCAGTTTGCCAAAAAAAAGAGTCATAGTCAGGGAGCCAGAGTTTATTATCCTCAGTACAAAGATTCTAATCTGACCATTGGATTCCCTTTGCTGGAACCTTCTCTAACTCTGTATCTCTTATTGAGCAAGGTCTAAGGTCCAGGATGAGACACAAAGCCTTCACGGCTGGCCTTACTTCCAAGGATACTCTCATCTCCCCCCTTTCCTCTGATGCACACCCTGCTGTATTCTGATTCTGGGATTTCCCCTGTTTGCCCAATATTTCTCTGATTAATCCTTCTTAATTGTGTGACTTTGGAAAGGATATTTTAAATCTCATTCTTCAATTTTCTCACTTAGGTGGTAGAAATAACATGAAGACCTTCTCTTGGTCACTGTGAAGTTAAATGAGATAATTTATACCAAAAGCATAGCTATTGTTGATAATATGACTGCTTTCTGTATGGTAGGCACATATCTAAGTCTCATCCTTTTATTATTTCATTTTACCCCCATACAGCACAAAAGACAAATAATATTAACAAGGGGAATATGCATATCTTTATTTTACAGAAGAAAAAACCTGAAGCAAAGAGGGTTTGATGATCTGTCTAAGGTTACAGAAGGAGTATGAGCTGAAGATGGGGTCAGGGCACAGAGCATCTGCTCTAGGCCATGAAGCTGTCATGACTGGACTTTCCTGGGATAACCTCTTTGCTGTTAGAAATAGAATTCAAAGTCTGTCCCTTCATGTGCAACCAGAACAGAGTACTTGAATTTTATATAGCAAGACATGCTCTCTATGATTTGGCAACTTCTCCCTCAAACATAGGAATGGCTTGTTAAATGGTTTTGAGTTTTGTGAGTTAAAAAACAGAATGAAGTTTTGAGAACACTGTGAACATCTAGAGAATTCAGTTGATCAAAATTTGCACCATGCAAAGAAAAACATATTAAAATAATAATGAAAAAATTAGTGGATATGTTGATACACACACATAGAATTGTAAAAGATCTTTGAGAACATCTAGTCCAATCATTTGATCTGAAGCTAGTTTATGAATATGAAAATGATATTAAATATATATACTTAAGAAAATCAATTTCTATTTTATATAAATCCAAGCATGAAGATAATTATATTACATTAAATATATGTATTTATTATGTTTTTAAAGTATGCACAGGCACATAAACCAAAATGAAATATCATAAACTTACTCAATATTTGAGCTAATTGAAAACTGTGTTTATATAAAATGATGAGTACATTGAGTACAGTTTTGTGTGTTAGGATATGAATTTAAAAAACAAGATTTGTTTATATCTGTTGCTACATGTCTGTTAACCAAGGGAGGACCAAGAAAAACAGTTGAGACTTATTATTCCTTTATTTGCTTCATTTTCTATTTTCCAACAGTTTATTTTCACAGGATCCTCATCTATTGCATCTGGGCGAAACCTCTGCAGAATATTGGTAAGGTGACAGCTGTTCTTGGTTTTCTACGATCATGCAATGAAACATAAGTTACCCACTCATAGTAGAGGAGTGGAGGTTGGGGAGTCCAGGTGAGGCACTGAGTGTCATGTAATCACAAGAAAATTAATTTTCTTTTCCAAGGCATTCAGGTGGTAGAGATCAAGAACCATAGAGATTGTGAAAATGATTAGTGGAATGGTTACTATGAGTATTTGCTGAATCTGAAGCTTAGCAAAAGGCATCTTTATTTTTATGTGTTGTTAAATTTGACCAATTCTAATTGTTTTGAGTGTACACCCTCCCACCACTAGTTTTACAGCCGAAAACCAAACATTTTATTCCTTTAGTGATTCATTAAGTAATTACTAGTCTGGGTGATGTGTGCTCTCTAAGCCATCCACCCACTTGAACCACTTTCCTAGTCTATCTTGCTTTCTTGATGGCCTTGCCTCCTATTCTAAGAAACTCAAGCCATTGGAAGAGAATGTTTGAACCCCCTGTGTAACATCTGTTCATGAACCACGTCAGCACTAATATATTTTTTCCCATTAACCTTTTACCCTAGGTGACCGCTCTGTGATTACCATCAAATCTAGAATTCTTAATGAATACCAAAATCTGTTCTCCACAAAATTATTACACTTGAATATTTTTTCTATTAGATCTTTTTAATTAGCTTATAAGCATCCACTTAGGTTCTCAAAAGAAAAAAATACCTTGCCTTTATTTTCTCCTGCTAGCTACAGGCAAAATTATTTTTTCCTTCCGTAGCTAAACTCCTTAAAGAAATGATCTATATCCTGTCTCCAATTCCAGTCTACCTAGTTTCAACTAAACCCACTCCAGTAAGGCTTTTTCTTCCCTATCAAACCTCTGTATCTCTCTTTAAGATCACTAAACACTTCTCTATTGGTAGCACAGAGGTCAGCTCTCCATCCCCACCTATGCTGACCCATGAGCAGTGGGTAGCACATGGGGGTCTCTCCCTCCTCCCTCCAGTATTTCTTCAAGTGGCTCCCAGGTCACCTGGACTGGCTTTTTCTCCTGTCTTGGCCTCTCCTTCTCAATCTCATTTCCCAACTCTTCTCTCTGGCCTTTTAATGTTGGGGTGCCCCGACCCCATTCTTTGTCATGGTTTTGAATGACACCTGTATGCCCACAACTCTGAAATAAATACTTGTGGCCCAGATCTCTCTCCTGAGCGTGAGACGGGCACATCTAATTGTTTCCACTGAGAGTTCTACAAGGCCCAAACTCCATTCCTAACCTTCCCCAGCCCTTCTCCATCATGTCAGCTGATGGGAGCTCTATCCTTCTAGACTCCAGGCCGAAGCCTTAGAGTCATCCTGATTCTTCTATGACACCTTGAATGCAGTTTGTCAGCAGGTCCTATTGACCCTACATTCAGGCTAAATCTGAGTTTGACCTTTTTCATCTCTGTGCTGATAACCCTTCATCCAATCTACCGTTACCTTTCTCAATTGGGCTCCTTGCTTCCACACCTGGTCCCCTCTAAACTAGTCTCATTTGAGCCATCAGACTGTTTACTTTAAGACATAAATCTAAGTGTGTCACCCCTTTGCTCAAAGTCCTCTGGGGGCTCTACATTCTCCTCAGAGTGAGAACCACAGTCCTTCCCGTGACCCGCCAGGCCCCCTGCTCACTCTGCAGCTTCCTTTCCTAATACTGGTCCCTGCCCTCCAGCCCCCTTGCCCTCCGCTTCCCTGGGACCCCCCGGAACCCTCCTGCCTCGGGGCTTCTAAATGAGTTGTGTGACAGCAAGGACTTCCCCCAGACACCCTCATGGCTAGTCCCCCAGTTCTTCCGTGCCTCCCCCCATCTGTCAATCTTATTTTACACTAAAACCTCTCTTCTCTCTGGATTTATTTTCACATCCTCCTCATTCCCCACTATTATCCCATAGTACTTAGTCCCCTTTAAAAATTCTATATAATTTACCCATTAGTGTGCTGAGTTGTTTCCTTTGTCTTTGGTGCTGGAATGTAAGCTCCATGGGGTGGGCTCATTGTTCAACGATGTTTGCCCAGCATTTGGGATGTCGTGTGTGTGGAAACACCTTGAATTGGTATTTATTTAAGTGAATTGTAGCAAAGATGAAGTATGTGCTGCCTGTATTAATTCAATATCCTTATTCTTTCTAGGATCAAAGAAGATATCTGAGGTACCTCATCAGTGCTGTAATCGCACTGCTTGGGGTTATTGTGCTCTCGGCAAACTTAACATTTAATAACGTGTGGTTGGTGGATTGCCTGTATTCAGAATCATCAGACTTATGCCTCTACATGGGCACCTCAAACAATGTATGTTTTTAAAAATTGTGTTTAATTATAAAATATTTCAAACAATTCAAAATATACAAAATATAATATATCAAGTGCCGTGGTGCATGGATTTGATTCTTGGCTTTGCCACTTGATAGCTCTGTGCTGAAGGGTGAATTAGATAACTTCTCTGGGTTTCTCATCTTTGAAATGGGGAGGGTGTAGTACTAAGCTCACAAGGTTAGTGTAAGGATTAAATAAGTTAATATATGATAAGCAATTGAAACATTGTGTTACATTATTATTAATATTACTACTACCCCTACCACTATTATACTCCCCAAAGAGATTAAATTTTTTAAGATTTTATTTCATGTCTTGCTTAATAAATCTAACAAGGGAGATTTATAATTTTCTCTGTGTTCTGGGATTTTCAAATAATGACTTGTTGAAGATAGAATGACTTCACTTTTAATTTATTTGAGTGTGTTGTTTTGAAAGGGAAATTCTTCAGAAACCTTTCCAAATTATTTTTATTGTAGTTGTTTTTGTGGTTAAGGATTTTCCCTCTTGTGAGAACCAGTTAGTTATTAATATTTTCCTTCAAATATTTCCATTTTCTCCAGGATGCTTTATGAGCTGTTCTTACTGACTACCTCCTAACTTTTCTGTTTGCTGACACTACTCCTGGAAGTTGCTGTCCTCATTTTATTATATTTTTAATTGTCTTAGTTTATATTCATAAAGGTCAGATTTTCCCCTGGATTTTGTGGTATTTTCCCTCCAGAACAGTTTTGAATTTTCTTCCTTCTAAATGCCTAAGTGATAATGGAAGGATCACCAGCCTAGTGAATTTGTGTTTAACATCTCAGCTTAGTGTTTCATTTCCAAGGATATTTAAATGTCCAAACACTTTATGAAGTCCTGTTAATGAAATAGTGAGGGATCATTTTTTTTTCATTTCCTGAACTGCCTTCATATCTCTCTAGTTTACTGTTATTCAGATTAGTATATGTTGTTAGGACTAGAATTTTGCCTCTATAGCTTCTTACCCCATGATTATTTCCCATGGGTTGATAGAGAATTACAATGTTATTCTCCCCAGAGAAAATGTTTCCATGTTTTTAGATTGACATTGTGTGTCTTTCATGGTATGTATCTGTTTCTCCTACTTAATTTGTGGTTCATTTCTCTCTGTTTTATGGAAAGGAAATATTTTAGTTTGGCTTTCTGAGGACATCTTTTCCCTCTGATTATTTATTCTGTGTTTGATATAAGCCATCATATCCCTTAGGGCCTGATGTCTCTAATGCTGATCTTTACCTCACTGGAATTGGGCATAACCATCTCTACCGTGATCACATGCCAAGTAGCATATTGGGAATATTTGGCAGGTGGGTTTGTTTAAATGACTAACAATTCATACAGTCTACAACCACCCTCTAGGGTTTGAAGTTGTCTCTGACTCTTGAAACTGTAAAAAAAAAACTTTTATGTGGTTATGACTTGTCAGGTTCCTAGAATTTAAGGTAGTATGAGTGTGAGTGATGAAATGAAGTTTGGAGAAGAATTCTGGTCTGAAAATACAAGAAAAAATGTATTTAATATCTAAGAGAACTTTTTTGATATAAATAGAGTGTGTTTAATTATTTTTTTGTATTGTCACTTCTTAGTTGTATATTGGGAGTAAAATCACAAAGTCTTTCTACATTGTAGGTAATTTAACAGTAAAATGAGAAAACTTTCTCTTCTGTGTATATAATACCTCAACACAGTAAGAATCAGTAAATGAATGTTATTGGTGATGACCCTGATGAAAATGGGAAGGGATGGAGGGCGAGGGAGGCAGTGAGCCCCATCTTGGAGACTGACATTGTTTTATTTTCCAGACTATTTCATGTCGTCCTTCTAATCTTGGGAATCAGGAATGCCTCCTGAGGAAAGAAAATCTTAAAGCAAGTAACTTCAACATCAGACCTGCATTAGGTCACAGCACCAACTGAGAACCAGGAGAAATGAGCCCATGAAATGGAATCCTACCCTCAGGGCATCGGTCATGAGAACCTTGGACACTTGACTCAACCTTTCTGTTCCATGAATCCATTGGTGTGTCTTGATTTGGAAGGTGCTTCTTTAGACATTATTGGTTTGGTAACTTCAAGGATCACAGCGCCACACTGTTGCCAGATATTGGTTCTCTCTCTTCTTACCCACCTACTCCATTGCTTTATAAGGTTTAGAGGGGTCAGGGAGAACAATCTTTATCTCATGTATTCACTCTTAAATACAACGTCAAATCGCTCAATGAGAAAGTGGGTCAGATTTTTTTTTATTACAGAAAAATGCTTCTTGACTTGACCTGACATCAGCATTGCAAAATCTCTCAAATAAAAAAACATCATCATCATTGAGATCAATGTTCACTATTTGAGGTAGGAGGGTCAAGCCTCGCAGGTGTCATTTAAGTCAGCTCCTGAGATAGGTGCACACCCTGATTTATGATGATCATCCAGATTGGGGATTTTGGATCAAGACCAACATTTGTTCATCAAAGGATGATGAGAAGAAGAGAAGTAAAGCACAAGGGCTCAGGAATCTCACAGATCTGGGTTTAGATTCTGATACTGTCACTTATTACCTGTGTGAATTTGAGCAAGTTAATTAACCTCTGACTTACATTTCCTCATCTGTAATGGGTGTAATAATGTCAGCTTCCTCCTCAGGTGTCATGAGGGGTAAGTAGAGGCACAGAAAATGTGAGGGGCATCCCCCCATGCTCGCTGATGCTGTCACTGCCAGTCCTGCTGTGGCAGGTGAAGCTGAGGCAGGACGTCTCCTGTGTGCGGGGAGGACGGTGGCTCCTCCCTTCTCCGCGGAGACCCCTTCTACACCCTCCTGTGATGTCAGCGGCCGTCGTTTCAAGGTGGTGATTTGATGTTAAAGCTCCCTCTGATACATCGGGACTTTGATTTGTACATCTACTGCTGAAGTTCTTATGTTCCTGATTCATGAGTTAATTTCCCTGTCTTGTCAGTAAACTGAGTCCTCCACAACGTCTATAGCTTGTACCCATAAATTACTCTCAGCTCCTTCTTGGCCATAAAGGATTCTTCCACAGTCTTCACTACTAATCCTTGTCTCGCTTTTCCTTAAGGGCACACACACACACACACACACACACACACACATTTTATTGTTTGTTAATCCATTTAGGGAGCGCCTCCTCTGTGCCATGTGGTGTGCTGGGATTTGGCATATGATACAGAATAATATATAATCTCTGCTCTCACCTTGCTCCTGGTGGGAGAGACAGACCCACAGAAAACCTGTAATTATGATATGGAGTGATAGGGCTGTGATAGGAAGAATAGGAAGCTTGGGAACATAGGTAGGGCTTTCTTTTTTTAATTTTTAAAAAATTTTTCTTTTGTTATCATTAATCTATAATTATATGAAGAACATTATGTTTACTAGGCTCCTCCCTTCAACAAGTCCCCCCCCCAACTCCCCGTTCTCAGTCTCCGTCCATCAGTGTAGTAAGATGCTGTAGAATCACTACTTGTCTTCACTGTGTTGTACAGCCCTCCCCGTGCCTCCCCCCACACTATACATGCTAATCATAATGCCCCCTTTCTTTTTCCCCCGCCCTTAACCCTCCCTTCCCACCCGTCCTCCCCAGTCCCTTTCCCTTTGGTAACTGTTAGTCGATTCTTGGGTTCTGTGATTCTGCTGCTGTTTTGTTCCTTCAGTTTTTCTTTATTGTTATACTCCATATATGAGTTAAATCATTTGATACTTGTCTTTCCCCGCCTGGCTTATTTCACTGAGTATAATACCCTCTAGCTCCATCCATGTTGTTGCAAAATGGTAGGGTTTGTTTTCTTCTTATGGCTGAATAATATTCCATTGTGTATATGTACCACATCCTGCGACTTTTTTGTATTCCGATTATCAGTTCTAGTAGTTTTGGAGTGGAGTCTTTAGGGTTTTTTTTATGTACAATATCATGTCATCTGCAAATAGTGACAGTTTAACTTCTTTTTTACCTATTTGGATTGGTTGTATTTCTTTGTTTTGTCTATTTGCCTTGGCTAGGACCTCCCGTACTATGTTGAGTAACAGTGGGGAGAGTGGGCATCCCTGTCTTGTTCCCGATCACAGAGGAAAAGCTTTCAGCTTCTCACTGTTCAGTATGATGTTGGCTGTGGGCTTATCATATATGGCCTTTATTATGTTGAGGTACTTGCCCTCTATATCCATTTTGCTGAGAGTTTTTATCATGAATGGATGTTGAATTTTATCGAATGCTTTTTCAGCATCTATGGAGATGATCATGTGGTTTTTGTCCTTTTTTTTGATGTGGTGGATGACAGTGATGGATTTTTGAATACTGTACCATCCTTGCATCCCTGGGATGAATCCCACTTGGTCATGGTGTATGATCCTTTTGATGTACTTTTGATTTTGGTTTGCTAATATTTTGTTGAGTATTTTTGCATCTATGTTCATCAGGGGTATTAGTCTGTAATTTTCTTTTTTGGTGGAGTCTTTGCCTGATTTTTGTATTAGGGTAATGTTGGCTTCATAGAATGAGTTTGGGAGTATTCCCTCCTCTTCTATTTTTTGGAAAACTTTAAGGAGAATGGGTATTATGTCTTCACTCTATGTCTGATAAAATTCCGAAGTAAATCCATCTGGCCCAGGGGTTTTGTTCCTGGGTAGTTTTTTGATTACCACTTCAATTTGTTTGCTCGTAAATGGTTTTTTAACTTTTGTGTTTCTTCCTTGGCCAGTCTTGGAAGGTTGTATTTTTCCAAGAAGTTGCCCATTTCTTCTAGGTTTCCCAGCTTCTTAGCATATAGGTTTTCATAGTATTCTCTAATAATTCTTTGTATTTCTATGGGTCCATCGTGATTTTTCCTTTCTCATTTCTGATTCTGTTGATGTGTGTTGATTCCCTTTTTCTCTTAATACCTCTGACTAGAGGCTTATCTATTTTGTTTTTTTTCTCAAAGAACCAGCTCTTGGTTTCATTGATTTTTTCTATTGTTTTATTCTTCTCAATTTTATGTATTTCTTCTCTGATCTTTATTATGTCCCTCCTTCTGCTGACTTTAGGCCTCATTTGTTCTTCTTTTTCCAATTTTAATAATTGTGACGTTAGACTATTCATTTGGGTTTGTTCTTCCTTCTTTAAATATGCCTGGATTGCTATATACTTTCCTCTTAAGACTGCTTTCGCTGCATCCCACAGAAGTTGGGGCTTTGTGTTGTTGTTGTCATTTGTTTCTATATATTCCTTGATCTCTATTTTGATTTGTTCATTGATCCATTGATTATTTAGTAGCATGTTGTTAAGCCTCCATGTGTTTGTGAGCCTTTTTGTTTTCTTTGTAGAATTTATTTCTACTTTCATACCTTTGTGGTCTGAAAAATTGGTTGGTAGAATTTCAATATTTTGGAATTTACTGAGGCTCTTTTTGTGAGCTAGTATGTGGTCTATTCTGGAGAATGTTCCATGTGCACTTGAGAAGAATGTATATCCTGTTGCTTTTGGATGTAGAGTTCTATAGATGTCTATTAGGTCCATCTGTTCTAGTGTGTTGTTCAGTGCCTGTGTGTCTTTACTTATTTTCTGCCCGGTGGATCTATCCTTTGGGGTGAGTGGTGTGTTGAAGTCTCCTACAATGAATGCATTGCAGTCTATTTCCCTCTTTAGTTCTGTTAGTATTTGCTTCACATATGCTGGTGCTCCTGTATTGGGTGCATATATATTTAGAATGGTTATATCCTCTTGTTGGACTGAGCCCTTTATCATTATGTAGTGGCCTTCTTTATCTCTTGTTACTTTCTTTGTTTTGAAGTCTATTTTGTCTGATATTAGTACTGCAACCCCTGCTTTCTTCTCACTGTTGTTTGCCTGAAATATGTTTTTCCATCCCTTGACTTTTAGTCTATGCTTATCTTTGGGTTTAAGGTGAGTTTCTTGTAAGCAGCATATAGATGGGTCTTGCTTTTTTATCCATTCTATTACTCTATGTCTTTTGATTGGTGCATTAAGTCCATTTACATTTAGGGTGACTATTGAAAGATATGTACTTATTGCCATTGCAGGCTTTAGATTCGTGGTTACCAAAGGTTCAAGGTTAGCTTCTTTAGTATCTTACTGCCTAACCTAACTTGCTTATTGAGCTATTATAGACACTGTCTGGTGATTCTTTATTTCTCTCCCTTCTTATTCCTACTCCTCCTTCTTTATATGTTGTTTGTTTTATTCTGTGCTCTTTTGTGTTTCCTTTAACTGCTTTTGTTGGTAGGTGATTTTATTTTTTACCTTTAGTAGTATTTGGTTGGTCTGCTTTATTTGCCGTGATATTATTTTCTCTGGTGACGTCTGTTTAGCCTTAGGAGTGCTCCTGTCTAGAATAGTCCCTCTAGAATACCCTGCAGAGGTGGTTTGTGGGAGGCAAATTCCCTCAACTTTTGCTTGTCTGGGAATTGTTTAATCTCTCCTTCATATTTACATGATAATCATGCTGGATACAGTATTCTTGTTTCAAGGCCCTTCTGTTTCATTGCATTAAATATATCATGCCATTCTCTTCTGGCCTGTAAGGTTTCTGTTGAGAAGTCTGATGGTAGCATGATGTGTTTTCCTTTATAGGTGGCCTTTTTCTTCTGTCTAGCTGCCTTTAAAACTCTGTCCTTGTCCTTGATCTTTGCCATTTTAATTATTATGTGTCTTGATGTTGTCCTCCTTGGGTCCTTTCTGTTGGGAGTTCTGTGGACTTCTGTGGTCTGATTGATTATTTCCTCCCCCAGTTTGGGGAAGTTTTCAGCAATTATTTCTTCAAAGACACTTTCTATCCCTTTTTCTCTCTCTTCTTCCTCTGGTACCCCTATAATGCAAATATTGTTCCTTTTGGATTGGTCACACAGTTCTCTTAATATTGCTTCATTCCTGGAGATCCTTTTATCTCTCTCTCTGTCAGCTTCTATGCGTTCCTGTTCTCTGGTTTCTGTTCCATCAATGGCCTCTTGCATCTTATCCATTCTGCTTATAAATCCTTCCAGAGTTTGTTTCACTTCTTTTATCTCCCTCTGGACATCTGTAATCTCCCTCCGGACTTCATCCCTTAGCTCTTGTATATTTTTCTGCATCTCCGTCAGCATGTTTATGATTTTTATTTCGAATTCTTTTTCAGGAAGACTGGTTCAGTCTGTCTCCTTCTCAGGTGTTGTCTCTGTGATCTTTGCCTCAAATTCTGCCTTTTTATGGT